TTGGGTAAATTACATTTACCTCCCCTGAGGTTTTTGACAATTATAAGGACCTCCTCTATGGTTTCAATAATTAAACTAACCTGCTTTACTTTTAAAACTATTATCAAGATTCTTCCAGTTTATTAAGTTAGTACAAACGACAATACTTAGGTGTGAAAATGACCATATTACCCTTTGCTTTGCACGTGAAAAGATGAAAATACTCATAAACCAAGAAACCTCATTCATTATCGATATGTGTAAATTACACTTATCTCCCCTGAGGTTTTGCATGTATATTATCAATGACTTATATATACTTTAGTATTATTTAATAATTTTTTTAAATTTCAAGTAATATTAAATAAAATTCTTAAATTGTTAAGACATTATTAAAAATTTAATGGAAAAAACTTAATTTTCATTGATAAAATACTTAAAAATAAACAATTTCTCTAAAATTAATGTCAGATAACGTCCTAATAACTTAATGGGGTTTTTTTTTTTTAAGGTCCTTGATCTTATGATTTTATAGCATAAAGGACATCAAATATTTTTATGATGTCTAAGGTCCATCAACAATATTTTCATAATGTCTACGGTCCCTCAACCTTGATCCAGAGAAATTTCAGTCCAGAGAAAATTGGTCCAGAGAAATTTCAGTCCAGAGAAAATTGGTCCAGAGAAATTTCAGTCCAGAGAAAATTGGTCCAGAGAAATTTCAGTCCAGAGAAAATTGGTCCAGAGAAATTTCAGTCCAGAGAAAATTGGTCCAGAGAAATTTCAGTCCAGAGAAAATTGGTCCAGAGAAATTTCAGTCCAGAGAAAATTGGTCCAGAGAAATTTCAGTCCAGAGAAAATTGGTCCAGAGAAATTTCAGTCCAGAGAAAATTGGTCCAGAGAAATTTCAGTCCAGAGAAAATTGGTCCAGAGAAATTTCAGTCCAGAGAAAATTGGTCCAGAGAAATTTCAGTCCAGAGAAAATTGGTCCAGACCAACTCCTCGCTCGAGCGAAGGTCCAAAAATCTGGGCAGCAACACTAGGCTCCCAAACACAACCAACCTGAAACAAACCTGCCCAACACATCCTATAACTCAATATACAAAGTAAAGAGGATGCAAACAAGATAATAAACAACTACCAACATCCACGGACACATGTCCGGATCACTGTACAACAAGGGTAAACCCGGGATCGCTATAATTTAAAAATAGGCAGGTTAATAATTCTTACACGATCAAAAAAAATTAAAAAATAAATATAAAAGTAAAAAAATCTTACATTCCCTGCAGTATATAACAATTAAAACAAACTCATTCATTATCAAGTTTAATCTTAATCTTAAATGCACTAAGTTTAATTTATCGTATTAAATATATATGAAATTATTATTTATTTTTCATAACTTTTTCAAAATATAAATGTAATGGCTCTATTTTTTTCCACAATAAGATTTTGAACTTTTATAAATAAAAAATAAAATAAAAATTTAACCATTAATGAAGGCGAGATATTAATTTTAAAATTTAATTTAATAAAATAGTTTAAATGAGATAAATAAAGATGAAAAAATAGATTTCAAGTATTAAACATAACAAATTAATTGAATATTTTATTATTCTCGAATAATTTTTCCATTCAAGTAAAGATTAATTTTAATTTTAGGTGTAATAAATGACAAATTATTTGAATTGTTTATTATTCTCAAATGATTTCTTGATTCTTCATTTCCTATCAACTAATTTTAATTTATTGTGAGACGATTAGATTTTTTTATTTACTTCTATATATATATTTTTTAAATTTTTTTAATCATGTAATAAATATTATCCTGCATTTTTTTTTTAAATACACATCGATTAAAAATTTAATGATTCAAAGATAAAAATTAAAATTTGAGAATGCTATATGATTGAGAAAAGATAAAATAACAATTTTTTATATATGAATAATTAGTCATGAAAATTGCTGGAAAAAAATAAATCCATTTATTTCAACTTTAAAAAAATAAATCCATTGGTTAAAATGATAAATTTTACGTTATTTATGTAGTATAAATTAAGTCTTATATTAAATTGTTAGGATGTTATCTAATATTAATTTGAGAAAGATTATTTATTTTTAAGTATTTTATCATTGAAAATTAATTTTTTTTCCATAAAATGATTTAATAATATCTTAACAATTTAGGGGTTTTATTTAATATTATATGAAATTTAAGAATTTTGTTAAATAATGCTAAAATATGTATGAGTTTTTGACAATATATATGCAAAAGTGAATAAAATTTCTCATTTGAATAGATAAGGTAACTAATGGGCAATTTCGTCATTTTTGGTATCATAACCTATGACATCAGCATGACATCAACAAATTCTGTCAAATAGACTAACATAGGGTACTAATGGGAGAATCTTGATAATAGTTTCAAAAGTAAGAGATGTTAGTGTAATTATTAAAACTACAAAAAAGTCCATATAATTGTCAAAAATCTCAAGAGATGTAATTTACCCAAATAAATTTCATTATTATATATGATGTGTCTTGGCTAAAATACACACATGCATACCTTACTCTCTTTTGGCTTTTGAATCAACAAACAAACCTATAACATTATCCGGGGATACCTGTGCACGTTAAATAGTTCGAACCTTCGACTTCTTTGATTTAGTCTCATAAGTGCAATGTGAAACATAAATGAAAGTTTAGATTTGACAACTTTTATAAAAAATCTGTTTTATTACAAAATCTTTTTCAAAAATGAACTAAATCACCAATGACCATCAAATCAATGCTTTTCCAGTAACAAAAGACCTCATTTCAAGCTTTGCAATGCTGCTGTTTAACCCAATTTGGAACCACCATTTCGGCACCACAATGTGACTCCAATAATTCAGAGTTAAGCTTAGCACAGTAAGCTTAAACAAGTTATTTGAGTCTTCTTTTTCTTCTTCTTCTTCTTCATAAGTTTTATTTTTTATTTTCTCGATTCATATATGATATTATCATGAAGCCCAATGAATTAAAATCATAATTATCACTAACTTGGCCTGCAATGGATGGTTCTGAAGGTTTCTTTCGGGGATGGGGGAATTTTGGGACTTGAAGTTCTAGATACCTGGTTTTCAAGAATTGGGGAATTGAGTTCAACAAGCTCAGTGAGATTTTTTTTTTCTTTTTTTTTCCCCCTCAAGATTCTCAACCAATGAAATATCTAAATTTCTATTTGCTTGGTTCCCATTTTTTAAAAACAGTTTTCAGAAAATTCTACACTCTTATTTTTCGTGTTTTTTTGTTTTTACTGAATTTTTTTAATATTTTATGCAATTTTTTTACTTTTTAGACACACTTAACATAAATACACCTAAAAAGTAAAAACATTATAAAAAAAATCTTTTAAAAATTCACTAAATACCAAAAATACAAAACAAAATACAAGAATTTAGTACATTTTTTGTATTTTTATGTATTTCTTAATTTTTTAAAATATTTTTTCACAATTTTTTTTACTTTTTAGACACATCTAAGTAAGGTGCATCTAAAAAAGTAAAAAAAATGTTTAAAATTTTAAAAATATTCACTAAAAATAAAAAAACACGAAAATCAAAAAACTCAGTTTTCAAAAAACTTAATCCAAAAAACTCAAACCAAACACAGTAATTCCTACACTTTCTCAGTAACCAAACGAGCATATTAGAAAACAATGACATAATCACACTGTAAAGTTTTCTTTTTTGTTCCTGCATTTTCCCAGTAACCAAATAAAGCATAAAATAGACCACACTCAAAGAGAGAGAGAGAGTTTACTGGCCCTTTGGCAATAGATTCGTCAAACATCCACTGCTGTTCTAAGGGCGCAACGGCTTGGTCTTGGCAACGAATCTGGAACGTCCAATTAGTACTGATGATGAGGGATGTAGGTCGAATGGACGGCTTTGGATGTTGCTGCGACTGGGAACCCATGAAATCCGTCGTTGCACGCTGCTCGCTGCCGTCGCTCGACACCGTCGATTCGATGCTCGCCGTCGTCTGCCGCTACTCACAGTAGAGAGAGAGAGAGAAAGAGAGTCGTGAGGAGAGAGAGAGTCGTGAGAAGAGAGAGAGATAGAGTCGTAAGAAGAGAGAGACAGAGAGAGAGAGATAAGGTTTTTGGTTCAAAACGTTAGGGATTTTTGAGACTGGGGATTTTTGGTTGAAGGCGGGAAAAACAAGCGCGAAGGGCCAAAAAAAGCTGAGTTTACAGATTTTCATTTTTTTTTTTTTTTTGCGACATCAAGTTTCACCGTTGCAAATAAAAATTTAAACAATAAAATGACGTCGTTTAACTAATTTTTTCCCATTATTTCCAACTATCATTGTTGCCGTCGCAAAAACTTGCTTTTTTGTGACAGGGAGTGGTACTGTCATTGAAACCCGATTTATTGGAGATGACAAGTGGTGCCATTGCAAAAACTCACTTTTGGCGACTGCAAGTGGTGCCGTCGCAAATACTTTCGTGTTATAGGCCCCCTTTTCTTGTAGTGTTATATCCTTCAAAACACTAGTAACTCGTCATGTAATAAATTGGCTTGTATTCGAACTAGATGTTTTCAAAAAACACAAAAAAAACATTCAAATACAGTTTTAGTTTAAAAGCTAAACAATATTTCCTTCAGAATCAGGTTTGGTCCAATGATATGTATCTTATTGGTAAATTGTTGTGTATCCGAACCGCAAGCATTCCAAGAAACTATGTATCTGAACCAGAATTTTCTGAATCCGACATTGAAAGGTATGTTGTATCAACTAATCTCTAGAGAAGTTTTTCCTCTACACAAGGGTACCACAATTTCTTTAGTGCAAATGTTGGTAAGAAAAAAGGAAAAACGAAGGGAAGGAAATCTCCAGAAAAGATAACAAATTTATTCATATTATAATTGTCCATACAAAGAAATTTCAAATTGGCCTAATTAAAACATAACAACTAAGCATTATCTTTGTTGTCGTTGGCCAAGGTTTGTCCTTGTCGTATGCATCCTTCCTCACCCATCCATTAAACTCTGCATGGGAACATGAAAAATCTTTAACACAACAAAATCTAGAGATCTTTCCACGATAAGTAATACGAGAAAAAGGAACAAAGCAGAAAAGGACAAATATTGTGTAAATCTTTCAACACATCTTTCATAACTCAGGAGGACAAACAAATATCTACACAGTATTAACCGCTATTGAAAGTTTCAAGTGACATATAAAATTGTATTCAAATTCAAATTGACACAAAAAAAAAATGGTTATATGGGACGAAAAGTAATCTTTCAACACATGTTTCACAACTCACGAGGAAGAACAAACATCTACCCAATTAGTCCCCTTTTAGAGTTTCAATTGATAAGTGAAAAAGTATTCAAATTCAAATTGACCCCCAAAAAAAAAATAAATAAAAATAAATAAATAAAATTTGGTTATATGGGACAAAAAGTAAGATGCTGGCTACCACTCTGTTGATGTCGCTATTAATTTGTTGAAATCAAGATAGTCTAGTGACTTAGTTAAACAAATAGTTAACATAGAGTGAGTAAGATGTGTTACGTATGGAATTGTGTTGCAATCAATAGTAAAGTCAATGGTTATTCCGCGAAGATCAATTTTGCAAAGATTGGGAAGTTTCTTAGCTCTATCAACGTTAACCCCTAAAGAAGGTCCAACTTGCTTAAAACACGCACAAACAGCCCGGCGATCTGCTGTAGAATTAGCCATCTGGTTCAAGTTTTGAGCTCCCTGACAGCACGGCACAGTGATGTCGCCGATGCCCAACAGGTATGGTTCGCATGGAAGTATTTTCAGTATCGCATCTGGGCAAGTAATTGTTGCATTCACAGTCACAGAGCTTGCAATCAATGCCAAAATTACCATCACCCACTCTACCGCAAACACTGACCCACCCATCGTCTTCTTCATCACCATATCTTTTCTCTTTTTAAAGCTTTAAGAACAAAACTTGGTTTTGATATGTTTCTTGGGACTACAATGTTGAGGAACACACCCTATTTATAATGCATTTGGGTGGTGGTTTTTCTAATCAGTGTGAACGCATAATATCAATCAAGTTCACATTTTTGGAACGAAAGGAATGAATTTGATTTAATGCAATGACCAATTAATTTGTTGGTATAACTGCCACTCATTTGAGGTAATTAACAAAAATAATTAAATGCTAATTAAGAATATATAAATGTTACGAACACACAAATTACGAAATAGAAATACTATTTACACAGAAAATCTTTGCGCAGAACGCACAAATGCTCGCACAGGAGGGTGGGTTCCCACATGAAACCTTTGCAAGTTACCTCTCTTTATAGGCACAATATCGTGTTGTGAGTTTATGGAGGTATTTTGTCAATCTATTTCGATAATTCGACTATTCATATTATAGGGTTTATCGAGAAGAAATACTCAAAAAAGGTTTATCGAGTAGAGCATTCTTGAAAAAAAATCAAGGCAATTAGACATCTAAAACCCGTAAAATAAAAACAAAAAAAAAATACTAAATTTATGTTAAAAAAAATAAATGATTAACATAATTTTGAGAATTTTTTTAAAAGCACTTATGGTCCGATTATAGGGATATGCAAGTCCGATTAATCTCATTTTTTATACGAATAATATACTCAACAAATTCTATAATATGAACGGTTCGGATTATCAAAATAAAATCAAAACGAACCTCAATCGGGGGCATTACAATGGAGGTGACAATACCCGCCCTGTGTCTGTCCCACATGAGTCTCACATATGTAAATCCTACCTTCATGTGAAAATTTCTGTATATTCTTTGCACAAATTTTCAATGTAAGATTGATAATTATAGAAATGCTAAAAAATGTTATACCACTTAACGAGTTGTAATTAAGCGTATAAATGTATATAAATGAATCCCTAACTCTATCAGAGTTGTGAAAGTTTAGCATGGAAAGTACATAAAAAAAAATTCACATCAGGTCTAACCCATGCTGTACCGAAGATAATTTTCACTCAAATAAAAAATGGGAAAATATTATTCTCTTCTAAATATTTTTAATGAAAACTACTTTAAGACATTAATTGTTGCAATTAATACAATATCAAATATTTTATCTCTACGGTTATAAACTTTTATTACAAAATTATTCAATATAATTTCCAGTTTTATTGTGTTTCCATTTTAATGTCTATATAATTGTTGGTCATTATTCTATTATTATGTGGCTTGATTCAAGGACACATATATATACCTACATTACTCTATTTCTAGTTTTGAACCGCTAAAATTACTTTCCGTTGTATGCAAAAAAAAAAATCACTAAAACTTTCTTTATTTGTTAATAGTAAATTCACTACTACAAAACTATAAATAGATCACATTTTTTATGTGTAATGTATTTTTTTGATCGGCAAAAAAGAAGCTTTATTGATGTAAGAAACAAGTACACAGAACAAACGAAATACATCAATAAAGAAAAGAGAAGTGCAAAAGCATCACAATGAGCTAAATCATCCCAAGCAGGTTGGCATAAAAAAACCCATCCTATCATTTGTTAGCACCCTCAAAGTTGGTGAGAAACCAAAAAAAAATAAAAAAAGAAAGGACCAAAACCCAACAAAAACAGACCAGCAGACCACTACCTGTCACGCCCTCAAAATTAACCCAATATATATCATTGACATGCATTATTTAAAGAAGACAATTTATGAATTCATTCATCAGAGTAATACTAAATAAAGCATTACATGCAATATCGAATAAAACGCCCTACAGGCTTACATCTTTCCAAGCCAACACTTGGATACCAAAAATATGAGTTCTAACTCAATACAAGAAAAGCCCTAGGCTTGAATGTTTACATGTAATAATAATTAAAGACAATTAACTAAAAGTAGTC